GTTATAACTATGCTTAACTATCAAATAAATATAAATAAATGGTGAAGTCTCCAGGACTTTGGGGAACCGAAAACGCCACTAACCGAAAACGCCACTGGCAAAACGAGCGAGGTCCTGGACCACTGCCTGCACCTCGGTAGTGACCAGAAATTGAAGGAAGCTCTTGGACCTTGCTGCGACGGGACCGAGGTAACTGGGCTGGGAATTTCCCTTAGAATTTTGATGAAGTTTTGAGGGAATTTCCCAGCCCAGTTTATAGATCTTATAAATTTATAGTTTCTAGGGGATTTATAGATTTATTTCAGGTTTTGAGGAATCATCTATATATAAATCTATAAAAACTGGTGATTTTATGTGATTTTAAAAACTAATTTGATAAAATTTGGCGGTTTTGAGGAATCACCTATAAATCTATAAATGCCCTAGAACTAGAGCATCTATAAAATCTATAAACATTGGTGATTTTATGTGATTTTCCATCTGTAAAAATTGGCGATGTTCCATTGCCACGGTTCATTGCTGGAGGTTATTGTTGAATGGATTACCCTCTGGTAATCAAAAATGGTAACATGGCTTGCCGGAAAAAATCCCACATGCAATTTTGTTGGAAGATTTTCACAGTTATAGAAGACTCCATTTCACATTGGATTTAGTTGCATTGTGTAAATGGGGCAAACACGCTCTGGCGTTCGGGAACTGGGGATATCGCAAGTAAAATTCGCAAGTTTTGATGATTTAAATCTGGGATTCCCCTTAAGCAATAGGCCCAACAAAGCAACGGTGAAATTTAAGGTTCCTCAGCTTTTTCGGAAGGAACAAATGGGAAACCTAACGCATCCCCAAAACTCATAGCTTGTAGGGATTCCCCCCCACACCCCACCACTAATAGCTGGAACATTGACATGGCTGGTTGATCCCAAAAAAACACATATAACTACCAATGCAACATGTTGAAGCTACACATGATGAGAAATTTTGTGGACCTCTTGGTGCCCAAATTTTCCAAACAATTGTTGGCCCATCCGATTGTTTTCCGTAGGGACAGGGGGTGATCCTCTCGTGCGATCTCCTCTCTGACTCGCGCGAGTTTCTTCTCCTGCGGCAGGTGCCGAAGGTCGCTACGGATGGTCGTTTCAGTTGGGTTACCATCTGGTTATGACTAACATAGCCATGGAAAATATGGTCCATTTATAGATGGTTTACCGAACTTAAAAATGGTAGATCTTTCCATGGCAAACTGTTAGTCATAACCAGATGGGTTAGATGAGTGGTAGCCATCCCAACGTGTCTCAACAGTTCCTGTCAAATCCGCCAGTTAGCCATGGATTCATCTTGAAAAACATCCATCATTTGTTACATTCATCCCACTGCGATAGCTGAAGAATAGGGAAGTTCATGAACTCTCAGTCTCAATGAGTAGATGATTGGTGCTTTCAACCATGGAAACTCATCAAATTTGGAGAACATCCAGGCATAATTGTCACCTGTCCACTGCGGATGGTGTGCATCCGAAAACCTTCATGTTGCCACAGGCAAAAGCACCAGTAATACCCCCCCTTGAAGTTGACTTAAGCTTGGAACTTTATGGAACCTTAACATATGCCTTAATTATCAGCTACATGAACAAATATAACAACATCATTTCTGCTCTCCAAACCAAGATGTTGGTCATATCATGGCATATTTTGTGCATCATCATGCTTCACAACTCTGCTGTCAGGATATCCTCCGTGGATACCTATGACCTCAGCCGGGCTGGGCTGGTCCTTCAACGCTTCGTTGCCTTTGGGTTTCTTCGGTTTTCGCAAGTGCACGTGATCCACGTTGTACTCGTCGTCGATCATGGCGGCACTCATGGCACGCGGGCGACCATCCTCGAGAAGGGGTGGAAACCCTGCGAGAACATGTGAGAACTATGTCCATGATCAAAGTTGCTAGGGCCTTAGGGCAGGCCAAAACAGCTTGCCATGGGGGTTCAAAGCATCTAGGTTTCTTCCATGAGGCCTCACTTTTGTTTTTTACGTTAGCGCAATTATAACTTACTGTTTTTTCCCCACCTGCCAGGTGAGGGTTGTTAGATTTTATGTCAGTTGCCTCCTCCTCCTGCCGC